CCAGGAAACCCTTTGTACAGCACCTAGCACAACAGGGTATAGGGCCATGACTGGACACCTGGGTGCTACAGTCATACAAATAATAACAACTCTCTGCACAATTTGCCTTGCGGCTGGGTGGGACAGGGCGGATCCCAAGCACCAGCTGAGTGTTTTGGCCTTTGGAGTCCAAGCCCTGTCTTGGCCGCAGGTGTCAGAGTCAGACAGGAAGAGAGGGGAGACCCCCCACCAGACCAACCTGCTCTCCACCTCCTCCACAGTGTCTGGCAGTGGTTGGTTGAGAGTCTCCGGGAGGAAGGTGGCCACAATGCCAGAGATGATTGGGGCAGCACCGTAGACGAGTGGCGGCAGGAAGGAGAAGTATTCATCCAACATCTTGGCCAAGGGAGCCACAATACCTCCTACCCGGGCCATGGTGCTGCCAAAGCCCAGTCCGGTCTGCCTGGCGTTGCAGGGAAATAACCATCCAGAACAGGGAAGGATTAGCTCAGTACTGGGAGGGCAGACCTGCTGGGAATGCTATATAGTGACCCAGCAGGATGTGCTGCTCACCCTTCACAGCCAGTGCTGACCCCAATGACCCAGCATGGCACTAGGGGGCGTTGTGCTGCATGGAGCAGGGTGGGGGCTCAGTAGGGGTATACTCTCCCCTCTCAGTCAGTGCTGACTCCAATGCTGCAGTGCCATGCTAGGGGGCGCTGTGCTGCAAGGAATTGGGTGCAGGGTTCAGTAGGGGTCAGTTGGAAATACAGCATCTTACCTGATCGGTGTGGGGTAGAGCTCAGTTGTGAATAGAAACACGCAGTTGAACGCAGCTGAAAGACATCCCTTCCCAATCACAGCCAGTGATGTGCGGACTATCTGCAGCTCTGCAAAGAGGGGACAAGGAGAATCCAGGGCTAGAACCCTATTCCAAACTCTGAGCTCTCCCTGCCTATCTTCCATTCTGCATCCCAGCACTGTAACCTTGGCAGCCTCTCTCCTCTGCCCTGTTTTGCCTGGCATATCCCCAACCCTGCTCTTTCTTCCTTCATCACTTCTCCAAGACCTGGCCTTTCCCCTCTCTCCCATGGGTAAGAATCTCTTCCATCTCTCATCTTGATTGTTTTATCCTCTTCCCCTCTGACCTCACTCACGCCTACCTCAGGTCTATTCAGATAGATGGCTGTGTATGGAGATAGATAGGTAGTTATGTATGCGGATGAGCTGATGAATGGATGGATGGATGGTTATGTATGTGGATGCATGGATAGGTGGTTCTGTATATGGATGGATGGATGGATAAATAGGCAGTTACGTATGTAGATGGATAGATAGGTAGTTGTGTATGTGGATAGAAGAATGGATAGATAGGCGGTTATGTATGTGGATGGATAGATAGAGAAAGAGAGAGATGCATACTGAGGGAGTCAATTACTCTTTGAGTTACTGTCGACTCATTGACATGTCTTGACGGTTATGCGCTAAGCATTGCCGTATGTGGACTGGACCAAACCCACCTCTGGGCACAAAGATGTTTGCGATGATCACAAGCCCAGCCAGGAGGAGGAAGGCTGAGAGCGTGACCCTGCGCCCAATGTAGGACATGGAGATGGTGACCACCACTTTGGCCGGGAAGTCGACAGCTCCAAAAATCAACTGGATCAGGTAGATACTGACGCCAAAGTTCTGTAGGTCCATGGCCAGCCCGTAATAGGAGAAACTGGTAGAGAACCTGCCGTTCACCATAGAGAGAGAGAGAGAGAGAGG